ATATTTAAAAATATTTCCGGATCGCAACGGAGAGAAGAGTAAAATATTTCTTTTCTCCTATTTTTAGTAGACAATTTCTAAAATTCGGGAATTTTTGTGAACTAGGAAAATTTTGTTTCTCTCGTATCGTTGCTCGTAACGACACCGGCTTGGGGCAAGTTTAATTGGTGGGGGTACGTCGAACTTCGGCAGTCGTGTATCGGCAGCCATGCGAATAACATGGTTTCTAATTCGATAGTTATCTCGATATATTTCGAATTATTTAGCCATCAATTTTTAATATTTACGTTATTCCTTCCTTTACAGGAACTCTATTAACTCCAGAACAATCCTCTCTGCATTCGAATAAAAAAGTATTCGTCGTACAAATAATTTTTTCGATAAGAGTTGCAATCATTTACAACGACGCCTTAAGGCGAGCAAAGAACGAGGGAGGGGGAACACCGGACTCGCAGTTGCGTATCGGCACTCGTGCAAATAAGACGGCGTTATCTTCCGATATATTTTACTTCGTTTTACTTTAACTATTGTATTGACAAGAATATCTCTGGAATATAAACAATAGATAAACGAAAATTTCAAGGATACCTAACCCTTTAGCATGCAAGTAACACGTTTCTTGAAAACAGATTTTTTAATTACAATATCTATTTTTCTCTGCCTTTGACACGAAAGCTTCATTTTTCTTGAATTCGAGTAACCAAAAAGGGGGAAAATGAGAGTAACAATGTATAAAAAAAAAAAATTGTCCGGAATACAGTACCACTTAATTCCCGCGACTACAATAGATTAAAACCATAAAACATTTTGCACTAAATTTACATACTCCACGGTATTCAAATTACTTAGTCACTTGGGAGCCAAATCGATTACCTCTACTTCCTGTAGGTTTCTTAACACTAGATTTATCTACCTGTATTCTGTATCTATAAATACGCTGTACGGAAATTATAATAATTAAACTGGAATGACGAAGGTAAATGGGTATATATTATCATAAAATAATCAAAATATGTGAAACCAGTTATTTTGACTAGTGGTACATGCTAGTTTTTAATCTCGACACCAGAGTGCGTGATTGAAGTTCAACTTCCCAGAAGCCAGATATTTAAATCTCGATGAAATGAATAATAATTGAGGGGAAATGAAATATGCTACGGGGTACCAAATAAGAAAACGAATCTTTTTCACGCGAGGGTACGCGTACTCTGTACATTTCATATAACTTTCGAACGTTTAATTGACGAATTTCTAATCGATTTTATTTTACTTTTTTCAAAGTGCGACCCTAGTATTCGGTCACGAAGATACATGTAACGCTTGTGTGCCCTCGCGAAGAAGGGTCGCGAGTTCACGTAAGAGCGAAGGGACCGCAAGGATGGGGAGGGGGCGGAGGGAACGTTAAGACACGGGGGAGAAAGAAGGGAGAAAACGCAAGTGCAGGCGGGAGGCTGCAGCCGGCTGTGCCGTCAGCTGCCGACAGATTTATCGAGTGGCACGTGCCGATCCGGAGCAATGTCGTTTTATGCCTTCCTCTTTTCTAGCTGCCGCTTCGTCGAAAGCAAAAATTATCGTAGCCTTTGTTTCACCTCGAAAATTTCCTTCCCTCTACGTCTGTGTCGACCGTTAATATTACAACTGTCAAATCAAAATGATGTCGGATACAGCTGTTTTATAAAATACATTCGTTCTTCGCAGAACTGACGATCTAGTAACTTCTAGTAACTTTTATTGTAACAGAAATGTAATTTTATATTACGGTTTATTCTTATTCATTCATTTGGTAAGAAATTGTGAATTTTGTCTTTACTTCGAAAGTTTATTTTGAGGTTAGGCTAGGACTTTTAGCTAGTGATTTTTAAGTTGACTTTGGTGACATTTGGTGAATCTTGGTTTTAGTGAGATTTTGTTTAATCGAATCTGGACCAATGTTATTGGTTTTGTTGATACTATGAGGAATCTGTGGGAAATGTGTTGATTTTTGATAAAAGAGTTCTTATTAACGAGAAAAGAGGAAATTTCCGGATACTTTGCAGCACCGTGCTGCTTTTAGTCGCATGATCTCATCAATGAATCAGTTGGTCTTCAAGATTTGGCTCGCTTTTTGAGCTGACACCTTCTGATGTGCGTCTTCTGCCGTAATAATGGTGGACGTTGGAGAGGAAGTGGAAGGTGGTTTAAAAATGTATTGGATGATTGATAGTGGGTCGCTCGGTAACTGAAAATTGAATAATTTGTTACATAGGTTTCGAAAATAGATCGTTTCCCTAATAAAGAAAATATTAAAAATATTTCGAATTTTTGGGGAAATTGAGAATTTGCAGGTGGTAGCATTAAAAATTCCTACTGCCACAAAAAAGCGGGCTTTATTAATTAAAAAGCTTGTAAAAGCACATCTTTTATGCTTAGAAAAAGAGGTGAAAAGATTGGAAAAAATTTTCATTTCTTGTAAAGCTGTATAAGATCAAATAATTTTTCACTAAAAACCTAAAATTTCCATAGAAACCTTAAAGTCTGCAATTCTTTCCAGGTATAGATTTTTAAATTGACTTTCAATTAACGGTCACCAAATTCCAGTTTCGCGTAAATGAGACTTAATAGTTTAAATTTGCTTCGAATTAGGTTACTTAAATTTAGGATATTTAATTCTATTTCGAATTCTCTATTTTATGCGATAAAAACCAGTAATAGTGTCACAGAACATGGAATCCAAAATGAAATAAAGTACTCTAAAGTTAAGTACCCTAATTTAAATCGATCTCATCAGTTATGATACAACGTTATCAGCTAGGGTTCCCCAGAAAATATTCACCGACCTAAGCAATATCTACAAAAATTCCCCATAAAACGAAAATCGTTAACAACTAGCACAGAATGCAGAATCCAAGATGAAATATTTCAAAATTAAGTATCCCAATAAAAATTAAGTGCATGATCCGACGCTACCAACTTAGGGTTCACTAGAAAATCCCTAGTAAGTCTTAATAATCTCTGCGTGGAATTCGATCGTCCTCCACAAGCATCCACCGTGAAATAAATCACCGACAGTATGAACTTTCGAACTTTACTGTCTTTCGAACGACGCTCGTTCCGATCGATAAAAGTAAGACAGAGCGGATGATAACGATTTTCCTGGTGGCAGCATGGAACCGTATTAAGAGTGACTTAAATTAATAACGACCGCTATTTTGGAAAAGCTTCCATGCTCCGTTAACCCGATTAAAGGTGAATACGGTGAACGGAGGAGATAGCATAAAGAATTCATTCGAATCTTCCAGCGTGACTGGTGCTTCGCTGATCCAATTGCCCTGGAGTAATTATGGAAACTTGGACGTTACGACAAGCTGCCGTGAATCTCGATCCACAGACTTTGACAACGCGCTGGGAGTAATGGTTGACGGATCAGTTTGGGCTGAACGATGATTAGGAATTACATTATGTCATCTCGTTCGTTCGCCATCTCTGCTCGATCTACATTCAGCCCTTTTGAATAAGATAAACCCAGCCATGGGATATTCCTATCCCGTTTGTCATCCTCGAATTTCAATTATTTCTATGTCACGGGTTATTTCTTCCCTTGTTGGGAATAGCGCACTGCTAGGGACTTTTCTAGCTCTAGATAGTGTCTAGTTACTTTTCTCATTTTTCAAGTTTTGTTGCTTGCATCTTGCAGATTCTCTTTTTGCCTAGAGAATTAGGCTTGTGTGTGTAATTCTTGCAACTTTTAGAGTTCAAGATTGAAATCTTTGAACGTCATCTCGAAGTCTGTGGAATTTTTATAATTTTTGTGGTTTAGGGTAGTAAAATTCGCTCGGTAGATAAATTTATAATTTTCGAATTTTGATCATTTTCCTGTCTTGGCTAGTTTTGTTGATTCAGCGTCGAAAGTACAAATTATTAGTGATATTAAACGTGGGTGATAGATTTTTGATAGACTTTGCTTAGAAGAGGATAATTGTGGATAATTAAAATTTCTGCAAAGTAACAGGCGAAGAAAATTTATGAACCATAGAGTAAATATAATTTCCGAGTTAGGCGGGTTTATAGCGAATCGGAGTTAGCTAGAATGTGGAGGAAAATGGAGGTGTAAGAAGTCGAAGGTTGTTGAAGCTCGTTTCCGACGGATGAAGAGTATCACGTGGCCCGTGAGATGTTTTAACTCGATAGCTCCGTTGCTGTGGAATTTTTTCTACGACCGATGAAATAAATATTAATGTTAATCGTGTTACGCGAATGTTACGTTTTCTGAAAGTTAACATCTTCTTTCTCGTGTTTCAGGACCGTCGTCGTGAATGCAACACCGACCCTGTATCTTGGCTCCTACATGCAATAGAAAGGTAAGTCATTTCCTTCCCAACGATCCAAAAATGGCGAATCACAAGAAAGATTAATTGGAATAATATCGGCAAAAATATTCATAAAAATGGGAAATTTTGTTCACGGCGAATAACACAATTGCAAACTGTAACTAAAGCTGTAATCGATCGTGATATTCTATTTTTAAAAGTAATATTTTATACTAAAATATCGACGTTTGTTGGGAGGAGAGAGGGTACTTTTTGCGATCAAAACGTCTCCTAAAGTGGATTCTTTTAAGCCTGAAACTCTCCACGAGATGCTACGAAGATCTCTCAAAATCGTCTACGAAATTCCAATGATGAGTTTCCAATTCCTCCGATAGGTAGGGTGTATCAACTGGTACTAATTGACGTTGATCACTTCACGCGACAAATATCCCCTGAAATTTCTACAACCCGAAAATGATGGTAGAAATTCACTCAGTTTTGGCGAATAGCTGAAACGAAGACTCGCTTTGAAATCCAGTTTCGCTATCAACTACCATCGGCAATAACTCTTCGCGGATCACGTGTCTGCTATGAGCAGAAAATCCGTCAAACGTAAGAACATCGTCTGTAATGGCGACAATAGAGAGAAAATCATCGGACTCGTCAACGATCCTGAGATTACATCCCTTTTCCCTCGATGCACCTCGGAAATCTCTATACTTTCGTCTCCGTCGTCCCAGTCGTCGTCGTCATCATCATCATCATCGTCGTGGTCGTCGTGGTCGTGTCGGTAAGGTTAGTTCGTCGGCGTCCGACTCCGGTGCAAGCCGGTTGGACGTCCGTAGGAAAGAGCTGGTTGGTCGCGCACACAAAGACCATCGCAGAAAAGCTATATCGGTGGTATTTTGGTTTTGGCTCGGCTCGACCCGCGCAGTTCTGGGAGTGGAGTTCTAAAAACAGCAGAGGTAAGTCCTGCCTGCTTGTGCCTGCTTGCTTGCCTTGCCTTGCCTTGCCTTGCCTTGCCTTGTGGCCGCTGCGTCTCTCGCCTTGCCACATCGGCATATTCGGTCTCCTCATCCCGATCTTCCCTCTCACGTTTAGTATTCTCTATACAACAACAACGACAACAACAACAGCAACAATTGCGACTCGGTGTCCGAAGGTTAGGTCTCGCTCCTGCGCCCACCATAGATGTACTCGCGGCTGGTCCGGGTCTAATAGGCCTAGCCTTCCGTTCCTCTTCTCCTGGCCCGTTCTTCCGTTCTTCGCCGCGGCAAAACTCTTTAGCGACTAGCCGATGCGATCGCTACACCGCTCTT